CCACAAAAATTCTTTTTCACTCTTTTTTTTTTTCTCAAAAACTTCACTAGGTATTCATTATCGGCAATTTTTGTGATTAGGCCTAAATACCACCGTTGCTCATAATATATGGCATAAAATTTCCTACATTCATGCTGAACAGCATTATATTGAAGGTTTCAACGTCGGGTTCAACAGTCGAAGATGTCATATTTTCAGAAAGATTTGATGAAAGACATTCCAATCGATTATTATTTGTCTCACTGGTTTCATCAGAAAAAGATTCAGTGCCTGAACTGTTATCTTATTTAACACTCATTTGGTCATTGTCTGAAGTTGGGGAGTTAGAAGTTGATTTATTGTTTGTCTTCCTGCTACACAGTCGCTTTTTTGTAATCTTTTTCTATTTGGTAAAATCTTCTTTTTGGGCTTAATAAAACCATTAGCGTTTTTGAATTTGTCGAGAAAAATCTTCGCATCCTATCAGTACTCACTCTCTGCGTTGCCTCTTCTAATAGTCAACATAATGAAGATTTGTTAATGACGGTCGACTTCCCGTCGTGCAGATATTGTTACTCGTGAACGGTATCTTTTTCTTCTGGCATCAGCCTTAGTGAGAAATTCTCCGAAGGGGTGTCAGGGATGTTCTGGTATGGTGATAACGTATCCAAAATCTCACGGTTGTGATCTTCTATATCAGCTAACTCTTGGTCAATATCATGAGTTGACTCTGGGGTGCTTGATGGTGCAATAGCAACATCATTCCAACTATCTTCTAGAGCTTGGCGATAACAATTCTGTTGACGGCAAAAAAGTAGCCACCGTTCACGAAAACTGCATCCTTCTCACTCCTATAGATACTGGGTTATCCCTTATGTAAAACCAAAGTGGGACTCCCTATACCTATGTATACAGGGTGTCGGTTTTCAGTGATACCATTCCATGTACCATTCCTATCTCCGAAACAGTAAGAAGTACCAGATTGGTTAAATTGGAGAAAAGTGGCAGATTTTAGTGTCCATTGAAGGTAAGCTTACAACTTAAAGCCGTGTGAAGATAACAATTATGCCATTTTGTAGCGAAGAACAAATCCTGGAACTTTTGTATTGAACACATTTTCGTAAAGTTGATAGATTTTGAATTATTCATTAAATAAGTTTGAATAAGTTTTAGGCATTTTTGACAATGTCCCTCATATCTCGGAAACCAACAATTCTGTGAACTTACCTACAATAGATTCTAAAATCTGCCACTTTTGTCTCATTCAACCGACCTCGTCCCTCTTATTACCGTTTCGGAGATACCAATACTGGACACCCTCCATAGTTTTTTTTTTCAAGATTTTTTTGATGCTCGTAAAAATCATCATCTGTATCGCTAATGACTCCCGAGAATACGAATTTTAAGAAACATTTGTTGGCAACATTTGGGTTCATTGTACTAGGTACAAGAAATCACCGAATATATCTATCCTTTATTTTTTATAGTATAGTAAAGGACTCAAATAGGTTGCAATGTTCTAAGCTTCCGCTTCAAAGTACAATACTTCAATTCGACGCAGTCATGTTTTGGAATGATGTACTTATGAGAAATTTGACATCTTCGTATTTTTATTGATTTTAGGGACTCTGACGTAATAGTTCTTGCCCGCGTTTTCGCAGCAGTTTGAAAGTTCGATTTTCAAATCATTTTATATTCAACAAAAGGGCTCTTTTTTTGGGAAAAAGTACAACTTAATTTAAATATTTTTTTTTTCTTGGTATAGGATGGACTTTGTTATAGGCTTGTTATTATTACTGAATAAAAACAGCCTGCGATAAATAAAAAACTAGTGGGATAAGAGCTTCTTATCCCACTGAATTACACAAATAGCTTTTGAAGGCTTCTTTAATATCAGAAGGAATTTCAACATTCAACAACTACTTTGACAGATTTCATTGATGAATACCAAAATTTAAACTACAGGTTTTGCGAGCGCATTATTATGGGGCTAGATAAAATATTGTCACATGTGTAATACCCACTATCCCATTTTCATCGTAACTGCAAAATTTCAATCTTATTGCCTCTATTTAGAATGAAATCAAAACTTTTTTAGGGCTTGAAATGAATTTTACTAAAAAAATTAAAATTTCTTTCGGTTTTCCAGTTACTTCTGATGTTTCTAAAACTATAGACGCTCGCAGCAGAAAAATTGTACCTAATTTTTGTTGAAAGTGCTTTTTCTCCTTTGTCTAATGCCGTTGTGTGCGGGAAAGTACGACTTCCCGTACTTGTAGATAAATAACTATTTTCCTTATTCCCAAAGTATGTATTTGACTTTACAAAATTCGTTATCACTTTCGTTTGCTCAAGTTTACACAACTACATATTATAATTTTCGTATTTACACTGATTTACAAACTAGGCGCTTTATATACAAAAACATTTAATCGAGGAGTCTCTAGACTATAGAATCACGTGAATACTTGTTTATTCAATTATCTTGCTAGAGCCGTTCATGGGCAAAAGATCTATGGATAATTTTCGAATTTGGGATGCTGAAAAATATTGTTATTTTTTTATTTTTTCAATAATATTTTGTTCTTGGGGCTGTACAAAATGGCTTATTGTAATGATCTCTTGCTTGTTTAAAAACGTCATGATTTTTGCCGCTCATTTTTAAATTTGAAAACTCCTTAATATTTTAAATAAAACGCCCTGTAGTAAATATTGCATTCTTCAGAAAATTCTAAGAACGAAGAACCCATGGCATAATGCATAATGCTCCGTACCTAAATTCAAATGCGTTTTTGCAATAGAGAACAGGTAAAAATTTACCATTTTGCTACAACAAAATAGGCAATACATTTTAAGGCGGGATTTTAGATCAAATCAAACTGTTATAATGTAGGTACCTACTACAAGAAAATGCTAACCGTTTGTGTTGATTTCAAACGTCAAGATTTTTCAGCATAGTTGAAGATAGGTAGAAACTGTTATGAAGAACTGAATGTTTTTTTTTCTACCTACCCTAAAACGAGTAGGTATTTCAACTTTTCGAAAAAAGTCTGAGTATTAGTATTATTGCAAAAAAGTATTCTTGCTTCTTGTCTAATAATTCTGTCAGATTTTGTCCACTAATTGCACAAATAACAACCAATATAAGCAGGGAGTCACGCCAAATGTTTAAAAATATAATTTTTTGAATTCAAAAAATAATAGAAAGCAATGAGGTGTAAATTAAAATAGAACATATGCAAGGTAATAAATACCTAGACATACTACTATTACTAACTAAAAAAACAAGGTCTCTATATTGTTTTTATTTGTCCTACTTAACAGGGATTTTTTGGCAAATACCCCATTATATTGTAAGGTTTTATTTTTAAATTATTTTTGATTTATTTAAAAATTCGAAGGCGTCAGTACTGGGCGTCGTTTGCGTTAAACAAACGTTTATACAACAGAAAATTGGCTCTCGATTCGAGGTAATAATTATTTTCGACTCATTTTGTTAATAGAAAGTTATTCGAGAAATATGACACCTTTAGCAACAAAAAAACTACCTGCTTTCCGGTCCCTTTTTGGGATTTCAATAACTGTAAACAACCCCCTACCCCTACCCTATATTTTTAGATAAACAAAACCTAAACTACAAAATTTTACCTGTATTTAGTGCTACCCAAGTAGCACTCCCATGTTGGGTCAATATTGGGACAATAACTACGATTTATTGGCCCAAGTCAGATTCTCTATGTTGGCCCAATAAAAGATGTGGACATTCTGCTATATTTGTCCAAGAACGTATGTCAATATATACCCAAAAACAAATACCAACGTTGGTACAATAACGTAACCAAATGTTGGCCCAAAAAGAAATAATCAATATCATATCAAGAACTTTATGCAATATAGAGCCAATTGAAATTACCAATATTGGCCCGGAGACGTATGTAAATCTTGGCTTTATATTATATTTAATTAAGGTAACGGACCAATTATAAGGACCGACTAAGAAGTGTTTTCTCTTTGCCGGACCATCCGTGGACCCGTTTTGCTGTATCACAAGTCATCAGCATGGTTAAGTCCCGCCAGGGTCCCGCAGAGAGAAAACAACCAATTTTTGGCTTCATCCTGGAACCAGGTTTAAGACAGGTAAAGTGAAGACAGAGTCTCCATCTATTTTTTGGTCGGCACACCAAGTGCGCACATTGAATACCCTATATTGGACCAACATTTTCAATTCAGAAAATCTAACCTTGGTAAAAATTAGTATGTAAATATTGGCCCTTCATTGGGCTTTTCAAAAAGTATCAATATTGCGAAAAAATTGGAAATAAATATTGGGTGTACAAAGTTTTTGAAGTGAATTTAAATATCAATAAAAAATTGAATGCCAATATTGAATTAATATTATATTACAATATTGTTTCAATAATATAAAATGTAATATTTGGCCAATATTTCATAAATCAATATTGTAGTGAGAAGTCTTGGGCCAATATTCAAATTACTGAAGAGTTAATTAATCTATGAAAACAATATTGGTACAAGATTATTTTTAAATATTGTTTCCACATAGTTAAAACTAACGTTGCCCCAATATTGGTTCTGTGTTGATTTAGCAACAAAAATGAATAAATATTGGCCCAACTGAAAAACGATGTTTACCCCATATTATGTGCTACTTGGGTATTGTGCCATGTGATATTTTGGCTTCAAAATCTGTCATAAGTAATTTCGTTAATGGATTTTTAAATATATATTTATTTAAACTCTAAAGGGTGTTAGGTGTCCACTATAATATCACTTCATCAGTGGAGATATTTAATTATTGTATCTGGTAAGTTATTTATCTGTCCTAAGGTGTAAAGCAAATATATTTTATATCTAACGGGTGTAGGTATTCTTAGGGAACAATGTGTGGTTTCATTATTTTTTTTCCTACTAATGCACCCCTAGTGGGGGTATAATGTGTATTTATTTATAATAGTTAGCAGCCATTAGTTTTTAATTAACCAAAGCCATGTTTTCCCTAGGTTTGGCAAATTTATTAGACTTCCAACCCAACCACCCCAACAAGGATATTTTATTTGATGTTGAAGCTAATTTAGGCTGACTAGTGAAAGAAATAATATTTTACAAAAATGGTTACTCCACCGCCCCAACAATTTTGTGTTAGGTAATGCTCCCACAATAATGTATTATTGAACATTAATTATGCTGAACATTTTTTAGGTGGAACAGTTACCAATCCAATCTCCAAAACGCTTTCCCTAAACTGCTCACATCCGAGCATTTCGTCGATGTAACGTTGGCCTGCGAAAACGAAATGCTCAAATGTCACAAAGTGGTTTTGTCAGCGTGTTCGACGTATTTCGAAAAACTTCTTTTGGACAATCCTTGTCAGCATCCTATTATTTTTATGAAAGATATGAAGTAAGAACCTAAATAAATAATAACTCTTTAACAACAATTAAATCATCATTTTGAACTAGATTCCAGGAAATGCAGTCTCTAGTCGACTTCATGTATAAAGGAGAAGTGAATGTAACCCAAGACGATCTTCCATCTCTACTAAAATCCGCTGAAGCCCTTCAAATACGAGGTTTATGCGGATCTGATCAATTATTAAATCCTTCGTATTTTGGAAATGTTGTCAAAAACCCTGCTGCTGGACAAAATGCATCTACAACAACTACACTGACTAAGCCAGCACCTCCACCGAGTCCAATTTCAACAACTACAACAAAAGACAGTCAACCACAACCACTTCCATGTCAAGTAATTATGCCCAAAAATGAAGCAGTTGTCAACAAAGAAATCGTTAATGTAACAGCCGATGTGGTTTCTGAGTGTGGCGGAGCCCCATCTAGCTCTGATTGTGATAGTAATGACGGAATGTTGCAAATAAAAGGTAATAATGACAAATAAATAAAAATTTGAAACTTATTTTCGATGCTTTTTTCAGAGGAAATGGATGATGGCGAAGGCAGTTATTTCGAAGGGGACGGTGAATCGTTAATGGATCAAGAGCTAACAGAAGAAGAGGGACCTGTAAATACTGGAGACCTTTCACGTACTCCCGAATCGTTTGCTATTGCCAACGTTTCGTGTCATTATGATGGATCGCCAAGTGGAAATAATATGAGTTTGAGTGAGTATTTCGGAGGGAAACTCAAATTATAAAGTGCTAAAATATATTTTTAGGTTCAGTAAATAAGAGAATCCGAAGGTCCGATGAAGAACTGAGAAGAGCAGCTGAGTGTATAACAAGAGGCCAAACTTTCCAAACAGTATCAGATCAGTTCGGCATACCCATATCAACTATTCGATTCTACATGGCACGAAAGGTAACTTTATTTTTCAATTAGTTCAAATAATGCTAGTCATTGATGCTAAATAGAACAGAACATTATATACTTGGTTTTTGTGACGTTGACAGTTTGTTAATATTGATCCAATTTAGTAGTTGGATGAGATCCTTTTGTAGGTATACAGCTATAGAGGTCGTCTTTATCAATACTGCACCATGTTGCAGTGCTGTGGTTCCCGAAGAGTGTGAAGGTAGCTTTGACGGACAAGGTCGTACCCCCCAATTTTGATTTCTCCATTTTTTGATGTCATATCACGTCTTCACGACCCGTAATTTATATTTGTTGCTGGCGGTCTTTAGGGAAGCTCCTTATTCAGTTGTTGTCACCCCTAAATCCGTACCACTGAGATTTACCAAGAAGGATTTCATGATTTACGCAGTCGAAGTCTTTTTCCAAATCAAAAAACATTGTTGCGATTGCCTTGTTGTTATCTCTGGCTTCGTATATTTTCTGTATTGCGCTATAGACAGCGTCAACGGTGTTTTTTCCTCTTTGGAATCCAAACTGTCCCCGATGTATTATTTTGTTTCTGTTTATGAAATCCTCCATCCTAGATTAGATTTCACCAAATTTTCCATAAGTTTTCAAAAAATGAAAAGCACTGATATGGACATATTTACAATTGACTGGATCAAAGCACTGTCACCCTTGTGTACAGGTATGATTTTTGCAGTTTTCAGGCACTCGGGAAACACAGCTGCCTCGAATGAGTCATTAATTGCGTAAAAAATTACATTAAGCAGAGTAGGTGGTAATTTTCTGAGTACGTCAACCGTAACATCATCAGTGCTTGGCGCCTTTTTACTTGTTATGTGTGACAGGGTTGTTTTGATCTTTTCTGCTGTAGTTGGTGCAAAGAAAAATGAAGATGCGGTTTCGGCTGGAACTACGTTGCATAATTTCTGGATATTGTTGGCAACTGTGGAATAATGTTTCATTAGTTCGTTGGCTGCATTTTTTGCGGTTTCGATAACCGTATCGTTGACTATGATTTTGACTTGCTTTTTATGTTTTCTAGTTCTACAGGCTATCTCATTAATTATGTTCCAAGTTTTTCTGGTTGAGTTTTTGCAGTTTTTAATTTCACCAATGTAGTATGATTGGTTAGCTTTTTTGGTGACAGCTCTCAATGCACTCCTATATCTTCTATAATAGAGTTTAATGCCAATATTATTGGTATATTTACATATGTAGCCTAGTAGATCTATTGTTTTTGGCAGATATTTCTATTCCTCTGGTGATCCATCTTTTTGGTTTTGGCCTGATGTTTACGGGTCTTTTCGTAAATACTGAATTGAAGATGTCTATGAAAATTGAATAAAAGGCATGAAATTTCTCTGAAGTAGCACCTGTGTACATCGTGGACCAGTCTGCGCGATGGAGTCGTTGAGAGAACAAGTTCTTGTTGTGCTCGGAGATCTATTTTCTACATAAGTATTTCTTATATTGGACTTAATCATCTCGTGGTCTGATTGTCTGATATGGATCCGAATGATGCACGGTTAAAATTGGTACAGCAGTAATCAATAATGGAGCAGGAAGACTGGCATATTCTAGTTATTTTTGATACATGCATTTTCATATCAGATGTCGCTAACGCACATTTGAGTCTTGTTTTTGCTTGGCTTCCATGTAATTTATATTGAAATCACCCACTAGTATTTTCTTGGCTCTGTGGGAAAGGCTGACCAAAATTTGATGCAGGCTTGAGCAGAAGGTTTTGACATTTCCTGTGGGAGCTCTATAAATATTGACGATGTAGGTATTTATATCTTCTATTTCAACGCAGCAGCATTGGAACGTCCTGTCTAAATTGAGCGATGCAAATCGGTTAATAGATTTGGATCCAACGTTGTATAACGCTTCCCCCATGGGACATTGTAGATCTAACGTAAATGGATTGTTGTGTACCTGCTAATGCAAATATTTTCGCTGGTAGTGATCCAATGCTCTGTAAAGCAGACGATTTCCGGGTATTGCAAGTTATACAATAGCCCTTCTATTTCCTCGATTTTGTTTCTAAATGCTCTGAATATTTATCGAGAGTAGGTTCAGGTTCTGTGTTGGCTTTTTGGGGCTTCCTACGGCGACCCTATTGAAAATTCCTATTTACTATCCGATTGGGCCTTTGTTTCAGACTCTTTGTTTTCTTCTGTACTAGTTTTCCCAGGATTGGGGGCATCACGCATCACCTATTCGGCTTGTTTCTTGCGATGTATGGGCGTTACTAGAATCCTCTTCCTTTCTTTCTACCGCCCTGGCGTTCTTTTTCCTTTCCCTGTTTGGGGAGCGTGTATACTACACTTTAGCTTTTTTTCCTGAATGGCCTGTGACATTGCGGCTTGGCGATGAAACAAAGATAGGTCCTGTTACTGTGTAAGGACTATTTGATGTTATTGCATGTTCGTCTCTGTTTCTTCTGCTAGGAGTGATATATAAACTATTTTCGAAGCTGGGAATACCTTCTCTGCGTAGCGCAGCAGATCATCGTTAGTAGCACACTGGAACTCGTCCGGATTTAGGTATCCGATTTGTGTGTCAAGTAGTTCTTGGCATATTTCTAATCTTTGTTGATCAATAAAACCATTCATGATTGGTCTAGATCTGAACTGCGAAGGACCGACAATTACTGTACTATCGTTGATATTTCCAGCATTTGAAATATCTTTTGATCAATCTTTATCCCTCTTTTGGCGTTCTGAAGTCCTCCGAAAATTACTACTCGACCAACAATTTCTTTTAGCAATGCACTGGACCTATACTGATAGTTGATATCAAAAGATTTTATTTTGCTCTTTTAAAAATGAGACCGAATCCCTTCACACTATAATCACCAATAATAAGACATTGGGGTTTCCTGGAATATCGGTCTCGATTGGGGTTGTTTTTTTGATCTTTTGACAGTTTACTTAGTATTTGGTCCTGTTTCTCCCTAATACAGCAGTTATTCACAGATATTTCCAGGCCAGCAGTTTTTTGTGGATGCCAGTGATTTCTTTCGAGAATTCTCTAGGTTGATCTTGCTTTATGTGTTTCATTTTGAAATTTTCTGTTCTTGCTTTCTGTAGTTCTGCTAGAAAGCATTTACCTTCCTAATTTCATATAATATATCCGTCGGATAAAAATAAAAGGTGTCTCTTACCGCGACTTATGACTATGTGAGTGTGGTGAAGTTCTGAGAGAACAAGATTTTGGGATAAAAAAATTTTGACCTCTAAATAGGATGTCATCTTCTAGACCATAGTCAGTTTCAGTTGTATTCCTATCTGACTTTAGATCTGATATAATTTTTGACAATTCTGCATCATCTTCCTTAGCAATTCGAATGCTATCGTAGGTTAAATCATAGCTGGATATTTTTGTGATGGATGCATGGTAAAGTTGATTGACTTCTTCGTTTAAAATTTTGTCCATAAAATATGATGATTGTTCAATTGAGGCTATGGAAAAGCAATCTAGATTTTCATGATCGGATGCTTTCCTGTATTCAACTTCGTAGTCAAAACCGGATAAAAATGATGCATATCTGAGAAGTCTAGCAGAAGTCATGGCTGGTAGCTTTGAATTTTGATGAAAAATTCTAGTAAGGGGGCTGTTATGTGATGAGTTCGAATGTTTTTTCAAATAAGTACATAAAGAAATGACTTACAGATAACAAAATAGTAAGAGCTTCCCGATCTAATTGACTATAGTTTTGATCGCTTGAAGTTAAAGATCTCGATGCAAAAGCAATGGGCTTTTCTATACCATTGATTTCATGTGAAAGAACTCCTGGAATACCAATTGGATTAGCGTCACAGATTAAGATCAATGGTTGATTGAAAGGGCTTAAAACCTGGTCACTAGCAATTTCTTATTTTAATTTAATAAACGCTGATTCACAGGAGGAATTCCATTTGAATTTTGTTGTTTTCTCTAAAAGTTTACGTAATGGATAGGTTTTACTTGACGTATCTGGAATAAACCTAGTATAATAAGTAACCATACCAAGAAATCTTCGATCACCGTCTATATCAGTTGGTCTTGGCATGTCTAAAATTGCTTTTACTTTCTTCGGAGAGTTTGAAATTTGGTTATAACTGATAACATGTTCTAAATATTCAATTTCTATATCAAAAAATTCACATTTCTTACGGTTAAGATGCAGATCAACATTTTTGAGTCTTTGAAGGCAAGCATATAGGTTTTTTTTGGCATTCTTCTCTGGTTAATCCATGTACGATAGTGTCATCAAATTAAGCATGAGTATTCGATAAGCCGGAAAGAATTTGATTTGATTGAATTCAGAAGGAGCAGTTTTGATTCTAAATGAAAGTCACTCGATAAGTGCCTCGATATGTTGAAATCGAGGTTGAAATGGTTTGAATATATCTGCCTTCCTCGTCCACTGGTAAATGCAGATATGCTTTGTATAAATGAAGTCGACAAAAATATTATGAATTTTTTAAACTATTTAAAATGTCTTCAATTTTTCTAATTGGATCATTTCTGAGGATAATTTACAGCGACTAAATTGTCATTGACGCCGATTTTGTAGTCAACGCATAGACGAACTCCGCCATCAGGTTTTGGAATGACAACCAAAGGTGAACCCCAGTCACTATGGTTTACTTTTGAAATTATTCCATCGGCTTCTAAGTTATCTAGTTCTTGTTCAACTTTTTCTTTAAGGGTGTAGGGAATATCTCTCTCTGCGCAGGTGTAAATAAACCTTGAAATTGGGTACTAATCCAATTCTTTTTCCAAAAATTTCTGGAAATTTCCTGATCAATTCGTCTTCAGTATCTGGTATGTTTTCGATTTCTTTTTGTTGATTTGTTCCAATTGGAAAAATGCGATTTGATGGAGGTTGATTCCCAGATGTCTAATCCATGCACGTCCTAATAAAGGTTCATAATTATCCGGAATAACATAAAATTCTTCAGTCGATGTTTTATTATTGTAACGTACGGTGGTTTAGCTTTTCCAATTGGATA